AGACGCAAATGTTATATCAGGTGAAGATTTTTGCAAACGACCATTTACAAGTTTAATTCTGGTAGCTTCTCCATTATTTATTGATATTAAATCGAAATCCAAAGAACTGTCTATTAATTGTACCCCACTGGTGTCAATTTTATTAGACCAGCTGGTGTTACCACACCACCAAGCTAGTCACGTCTATATTTCCTAAAATGATAAATTCACTTATCCTTAGAGGCAAGCCCTTAGCCAACTACGTTTCACTTAGTATAAAACAGAGATTCAAAATAACTATTTCGGGACTTATACTTCGTTTATTCCACTGGAGTATATTCGGCGTGAAATCTTTTGATTTACTATCCATTAACAGCATTATAAAGTTTCCGTAATGTTCATTCTTCCATAATAAGTTTCATAAAAATTGTTTTCTACTATTCAATCATTATTTTAAAAATATCGAGTATCTATTCTTATACTTTGCTTTTAGAAAACAGAATTTCTTTTATTTTTTAATAATTACTCTTATCTTAGAGAACTTTCGTTTCTATCTTATTTAATAGGATCAGATGCAATAATAAACATATTTTTCTTCGTATGCTATGCTATAATTTGGTATGTTTTATATTGTTTATTTTTAAGGTTTTCATAAGTTACTTGTTCCTTACTCGGTTTTCTTAACGGGCTGTTTGACGTTCTTCTGCCCTTTCCGGTAGATGGCGCAATGATTCTCACTCAGCATTAACTCTAGACTTATTACAGGGTAAATAAACAATACATATATAACTCACGCTATCAAATGACTTAAGAATATATATTTATCACCAAAATAAATATTTTAAAGACCTGTTTCAAAACTCAACGATACTTCCGCGAATTTCAACCTTATCTTCCATAATAATTTTTGCTTTAATGCATATTTCATTTATTGAGACTGCAGGAAACCTCATACATTTTTCTGAGTGCTGCTCAGTTTCTCATACTGTTATTGATTCCATAAGATGCCGTACCGCATTAGCAGGACAACAAAAATGTTTCCTTTCTGAATTCATTTATAATAAAGTTAATAAAATTCTAAATTTATATACACTATCACTTCACGAATATCTAACTAAAATAAGAAACTGGCTAACTACAATACAATTTGAGGATACTGAAAAAATACTTTAGATGAAGCATATATGTAATACACATATTTAGAAAAACATGACACACACACACACACACTTTGGAAAAATTGAAAATTGTCTTGCCATAAATTCATTAGACTAAGAAACATGGGAGAAAGTGCTGAATACAGGTTCTTACCCAGTTTAGGATTTAGGGGCTTCATAGGATATTTGTAACTCATTTTATGTCAATAAAGATTATTACTATTATTATATTACAGCTCGTGAACAACAGTATGTGACGTGGGAAATCTAAGATTGGTTCCCTTATAAATAGTAATTTTATACGGTTATTTTAATTTTAATTTTTATCATTTATCTGGTAGAAAAAAACCAAATTAATTTTTTCTTATCAAAAATATCACAAACTCTTATATATTGTATTACAAGCTTGGGGTTCGAGAAAATCAAAAACTGGCAAGTGAGTTATCGAAATTGACACTTTAATTTTAGAACACTAATTACAACTTAAAACCACACTAATAACGAAATACAATTGTACTACTGATCACTTTGGCTCGCAGTTGTATCGCCTCGAAGTATTCGCTTGAATTGCCAATTCAGCACTGACCCGGGTCGTGGTCTATACTGGCCTTATATAGGGCCTCAGATAATTTCACAACCTTCTAGTGTAGAAACATCTAGAATTTTCGAGTAAATACCGGTCCCGACTAACTAGGTGTCAATAGTTCTAGAAAGTTCTTACATAGAAATTTCTAGAAAGATCTTGACTCCCCTAGTTCTACTAGTCAATACTAGAGGATGCTAGTGGTAACCAGTATCACCATGTACCAGACAATAATTATGGCGCAGAACAATAGGATATTATAGGAGGATATGACGCTCATTAGAGATGTAAAGCACATTAGAGACACCAAGTCAATTTTTGCGATGACAGCGTTTGATTGATGACCTTCGTCTTTATTTATTTCAATTAAGGCAACCATAATATAGATCACTTGTATAAGTGATAAGAGATCCATCAGATTTTAATTATTGCACATCATGTGTATAATATTGAAATATATTTTAATACCAATATATGGAAATTTTAAGTGCAATAACATATTCATTTAAATACTTTAACAATATGAGAGCCAATCTCATGGGAAAATATTTGAATGATTATACATTTAAATATACTTAAAGGAGTTGATCATCTATTTGTTCAAATTATCAAGTCTACCAAATGGGACATGAGCGTTGAGTCGTAAAGTGTTGCTTTCGCTTGAAGATTTGTTGGTAATTTATATTCACTGCACGTTCCTCACTACTTCTTGATTGCTGACCTCCGTCAATATTTATTTCTATTTAGGAAACCATATATCGATGGCAGCAAAGTTAGAAACGGACATCTACAAAATCCCAATTTTACAGGAAAGCAGATAGAGTAAAAAATTGTGTGCATTTTGAGAGTTATGGACCGATTGACATGAAATTTTATATGATTCATTAAAACAACGTTATTTATGAATTATGTAACAAGAATTCTCGCTATGTCGTTGTTTTAATGAAATAATTTAGATGTCTTTTTTTACTCTGAAAAAACTGACGTAGAAGAAGACATCTGCCTGATATCCGTTTATACGTAGTGATCAAAAAGCGCCCATTTCATTTAAATTTCTAATAAAAACTAAGATAATAATCTCCATTTATACTTTTAAGAATATTTAACGAAAATCTAACCAACACGCAGATTTCTTTATTTAATATGCATTTTACATTTTATACATTACCAATAAATGAGTTATCTACCACTAAACTCCGTCTATGTCTCTAGTTATTAGTTAAATTCATTAATTAGTTCCCAAACCACGTTGAATATATAATAATTCCATGTTAACTATATAATTTTCTAAATAAAAATGCAACATATTACTATGTTTTATTTATTATCAAAGACACCATTAGCATGTTGACTGATATAAAATTAAAAAGAAACACAAAACAAATCAATATTTAAACTTAGCAATATCAACATTATAATTATTCTTACTACTTCAAGTAAGAAAGCAGATATGAAAATGTTAACGATTAGGTACGAAAACCGAAGTTATTCTTCGAATGCAGTGCCATCAGCAGCTTCTGATTCTTCCAAGGCATTACTATGTTTAATATTTTTGTAAAAATCATGGTATCTTGGTGGTATTAAATTTTATTGACACAAAGACATTAAATCCTTGTATTTAGCTGTAATAATGGGTAAAGTCTCACTATAAACTTTTCCAAGTTCTTGTGTATTATTATTGACTTGCAAAACTCGTCTGCTTGTCCTCTTGGAACTGTCAATACACATGGTTGACCTCTCACTCTAATCGTATTTATAAAATATTTTATCTGGTTGTCCGTATTCCAACACTATTTCGCGTACTTGATTCCATTTTACTTTGTTCCCATCTTCATTTTTTACCCATTTGTGATGACTCTTAGTCGTAGTAGACTTAAAATCCAAGATATCATTTTTATTTATCTCCACTACTTTATAGGGTATATCGTTTGTTTTACTCCATCGTACACAGGTATACCACTCTTGCGGCGAGAAAATCATTTTATTTTTGGAGGATCGTTCAATTAATGCGTGTACGCTATCACCCTTTTGCTGAGTATGACCCTTTTCTAAAAATCTATGACAAATACGAACACCAAAATTTTTGGCCACGTGTAAATACATAGCAAAAACGATACTGTTACGGTTTTGGCCTCCGCAATTATCCGACCATAAGCGTGTATACTTCACTCCCTCTTGGCTTTTTCAGTTGATGTAGTTGTAGAGGCAACTGGATACTTCATTTGACCCCCTTCTAGCTGTTATTTCATCCCATATCAAAGACGGTAAAGTTATAAACAGATAATTTTCTTTTGTAATAAAACGAATTAACTTCACCATGTGGAGAGTTTAAGATTTTTTTAAAATCAAATGTTGAAGCTGCGATATTCGAGGTACTGTTCTGGGATTGATCTTCTGTTTTCAACGATCTGGACACATTTTTGTTCTGAATGTGTTTTCCGTATGTTATTCTATCTTGAGATTCATTTGGAGGATTATTTTTATTAGCAGTGCACTGATCATACTGATCCTTTTATGGCACAAAATGTCTACATTCATGTGGGAATTAACAACATCCCTGTATTGTCTCAATGTATTGATAATTTCTGTTTGGTTTTTTCTTGAGTCCATGTTTTGTACATTTTGAACATGACACTGAAGTTTAGTGAGTTGTCTAAATATGTTTTATTAGTATATTTGCGGGTGTAATGAGATTCTATCGGTTGATAACTTTTAACATGATCTCATACGCTTTGGATAAATGTTTCAGTCAGCAATTTTGTTTTATTGCCATGAAAACCTCGTTGATCCTCTTTACAAAAATCAGTTGTTTTATCAAACTTATCGATTTCGCTTTGAATAAACTTGTTGCTTATACAAAGAGTATTTTTAAACATAACTTTGCAAACTTTTACCTCAATATCATTTTCATTTATTGATATTATGGGTAGGAAATAATGAACGCTCATATTACGTTTCGATTCTCTATCAGTCGTGATTTTTCTTTTTGTGTAACGTTTTGTATATTTACTAATGAATTACCATTGCTTAACATGATTACCCAGACCCCAAAATAAATCAAATACTTTTCGTCTTTTTTCTTCACTAATTTTTGTGCGACACTTAAATTTGCAGTTTTCGCATGGGGTCCGCATATCCTTTTGTCTTTGTTCTTTAACATCCCGAGATATGCTGATATGAATCCAATTCTCTTTTCAGCACTTCCTCTTTCTCTTTGTGACGTCAATTGTAAATTTACGTCGTTTTCTCCCAGACATAACTGTTGACGAAGGTGAGGAGCATTAACTGGAAGCGCCACTTACTGGTGATGTTGCACTTGTATCAGTGACTAAAATGGACGGTGAAGTGATTCGTGAACTGATTGAATGTACAACATCAGCTTCAGAAATAGGTTCCGGGAACTGCGACTCTGTTTCAAGTGAAATAAACTCAGGAGGTATGGGTGTAATAGATCGCGATCGAGGGAAATCAGTTAATTCAGCTGGATTAACATTTGGATTATAATGTATACCAGCAGATGTTGTAATAGGTAACACACTGTGTTGCTCGTCATCGTCAGCCAATATCTGTTCAAGCATGCTACTTTCCAAGAGCGGTAAGCTGTAAGCAATATATAAATTTAGGTTGAGAATATATTCTAGACATGATTTAAAGTAGTTTTAATAAATGACACTCACCTGCTTTTTTCTAATGATCCTATATTATCTAAATTGCCGTACATCTCTGCTTGTAGATCACTTAGTTGAATTAATTCATTTTCTGTATACGTTTAAAAAAAACAAACGTGTTAAACTATATATATATACATGCTATATATATATATATATATATATATATATATATATATATATATATATATATATATATATATATATATATAAGTATAGTACTATATCTAAAGAAAAAAACTATGAATTTCCTCCTAAAAATAGGAAATCAAACATTCATAGATTGAGACATTTGCAAAAAGTATGACGTATAAACGGACAAGTGACTGATGTCTTTGTTGACGTTTCATTCATCTGTCAAAGTTTCGAAGTAAAGGCGACTAAATTCAAATGTCCGTTTCTACTGCGATGATTTTTGTAAATCGAGTGTAGATGTTTTCATTTACGTGTCAGATTTTCTTCATTATTTTGAATTTTGAAATAAATTTAATACCGACTTTTAGGTGGGGTTCATAAAAGCTCATTTTTGTAAAAAAAAAGCATTTTCATAAAAATGTAGAAGTCCGTTTATACTTTGCTGCCATCGATATAGATCACGAGGATAAGTGATAAGAGCCTCCATCAGATTTTAATTATTGCACATCATAATATGTATTATATTGAAATATATTTTAATACCAATATATGGAAAATTTAAGTGCAATAACATATTCATTTAAATACTTTAACAATATGAGAGTCAATCTCATGGGAAACTATTTGAATGATTATACATTTAAATACACTTAAAGGAGTTGATCATCTATTTGTTCAAATTATCAAGTCTACCAAATGGGACATGAGCGTTGAGTCGTAAAGTGTTGCTTTCGCTTGAAGATTTGTTGGTAATTTATATTCACTGCACGTTCCTCACTACTTCTTCATTGATGACCTTCGTCAATATTTATTTCTATTTAGGCAACCATATATAGATCACGAGGATAAGTGATAAGAACCTCCATCAGATTTTAATTAATGCACATCATGTGTATAATATTAAAATATATTTTAATACCAATATATGAAAAATTTAAGTGCAGTAACATATTCATCAAACTACTTTAACAATATGAGAGCCAATCTCATGGGAAACTATTTAAATGATTATACATTTAAATAGACTTAAAGGAGTTGAGCATCTACGTGTTCAAATTATCAAGTCTACCAAATGGGACATGAGCGTTGAGTTGTAAAGTGTTGCTTTCGCTTGAAGATTTGTTGGTAATTTATATTCACTGCACGTTCCTCACTACTTCTTCATTGATGACCTTCGTCAATATTTATTTCTATTTAGGCAACCATATATAGATCACGAGGATAAGTGATAAGAACCTCCATCAGATTTTAATTAATGCACATCATGTGTATAATATTAAAATATATTTTAATACCAATATATGAAAAATTTAAGTGCAGTAACATATTCATCAAACTACTTTAACAATATGAGAGCCAATCTCATGGGAAACTATTTAAATGATTATACATTTAAATAGACTTAAAGGAGGTGAGCATCTACGTGTTCAAATTATCAAGTCTGCCAAATGAGACATGAGCGTTGAGTCGTAAAATGTTGCTTTCGCTTGAAGATTTGTTGGTAATTTATATTCACTGCACGTTCGTTACTACTTCATTAAGGCGTGATGTTTTATATTACTTTTCCTTCTATAGCATTTTATATTAGGATAGGGTATCAAATGGGCATTTTAAACGTTTTTGCGTATGTAGAAAAAGTTGGTATCAGATTGAAATTACCCAATTGGTTTTTTTAATCTATGCGTATGAAATAAATTGTTATCAGGTCTAACCTATCGGTTACATAAACTACTAGATTTTCGACTGCTCCATCACCATTTCTTTCATCCATTAGTCTGTATCGTTTATAAGGATTCTGCTGAAGGTAAAATCATTTTCATTTGGTGGTTAGGATGCACTTTTTTTTGTATTTTAAGATTTTTATTTTTTTTGATATGCCGAATTTGATTTTACCTGAAACTAAAGAGCCTTCACTAAATATTATGTGAAATTTTTAGATAAGATAAAATAAATTATTTATGAACAACACATAATGGCAGACAATCTAAAAATATTAAAGTACCTAGACTACTAAAGTGCTGTTAGTAGTCTGGTTACTGCATTTGGCGTCGTAACGAGCGCAAAAATCTCCGAACTACATTTATCAACCTGCTGATCCATCATATTATGCAAAACATGTTACAGGCAGGTTTTTAAAATATCTATGTTCAGCAATTGAATTTTAAAAGACTCATATTGACTACAACAACACTCTAATGAAACTATATGTGGACAGATTAGTTGTTACAAATTTGCATTGTACAGATTGCAAGTATTATAATGTTTATCTAAATTGTTCATTTGCACATTTAATAACATCGCACGATATTAGCTTGGCGGATAAGAACGGCTTAGTCGTTTGACGTGCTGTTATAATCATCCCTAATCTGCTCTTTAACAAATTTACATAACTAAAGTGTTTTGAGTAAAATTCGATATGGTTTGGAAGTATTCAAAACGTTATATAGTAAGAAAGAAAAAGATATTTATTTGGAAGTATTTACCGTTGATTTTAGCTTTAAACTAAACTTAATTATATACTAATAAAAAAAATAAAACATTTTGAAAAAATTCAGATACGTATAAAAAATCAAAAAAGCGGATCGCTATCCGTAAAAACTTGTATATATTAGTTATTAATAAAGCTGAACTTTATATCAAGGAGCACAAACAGAGTTCTCTGAGCTGAAATTTGAGGAATAGGTTTCTAATGATCTTTTGCAGTTTTGCTGTGTCCGAATTACCGGGCTGGTCGACCAGCCAAGAGAAACAGTTGCAGCTTAAAATTATACTTATAAAAATTGAATAAATCACTATCCCGTATCTTCCTGTTTCCTCTTCCATAATTAAACCTATTATCTTTTTTAAGAACTAGCTTTTTACCCGCGGCTTCGCTCGCGTGGGTTTTAATTTAGCAACATTAATAAATGTTGTTCCGTTTTAAATTTGGCAACATTCGATCATTATTAATACTATTGAACGCAGATGATTGATATTTGGCACAGATATATCATATTAACACGTAAATAAATAAGTTTTTCATAATAGCAATAATACCATTAATGTCTGTTATACCATCTGCTATTTTTTAAGAAAGGTAATTATTAATTACGAAATTATCTTGGAATCTATTTTGTATGTACATTTTTACATTTGGAAAAAATTGCATTATTTACATTTTACACTTTACATTCTTTAATCATTAAAGTTGGTTTAGTTTAAACAAAACTATGATTAATTTCATTGTCGTCCATTAATTTACGGCATGACGTTTATTTGCGATACTTGGTTCATATTAAGGTTAAATATAATATTGATTGGCACCACAAAATAAATGATGATATTATTTTTATGGGCGAGTAGACTGCGAAATTTGGTAATTGAAGTTCAATAATGATTTCTTATATTTACGCAAATACTGCATATGAAATAAATTAAAATTTACAAATATTACCGAATTTAATTTTAACTTTTTTACGTTGGTTTTATACGCATCTTTAGATGAAAAACCACAAAAAAACCTACGTAAAATAACATATTGCTGATGTAAAGCACCGATACTCCAGGATGTCTGAAGTATGTCAACATGTTCAGTATCATCACATTCCAATGAAAGTGGGAAGAACCACACTCATGAACGGAAGTGTGGACTTTTGATAGGGTGTAATGATGACGATAATGAGTTTTACGCATTTTTGCCCCATTAAAAGTAATAAAGTAGCAGCTTACATCTCGTCATCGTCAATTCTGTGCACAGGTCGTAGACAATTTTTCACTTCACCGGACATGTGATAAGTCACCACGTAAAATTTCTTATAACAGATTCATTTGCCCTCGGGAATGGAATCGTACACGTTTTGCTTCTGTGCCGTGATTAAATCTCACGGCCTGCTACACGGCACTTACTTGTATATGCTTAAATAAAATTCATTAAAACTGACACAAAAATTTGTATGATTGGTAATAACATTTATCTAATAATTAGACATCCAACGATGCTACGAACTATTCCATCAAATAGAGTTAAAGTTGTATATTTAATAATTTTGCCAAACGTAGGAATTGCGATAAATTATTCCGATAATGGCTACTGGTCTGGATACCTATTTAAAGTTTTGATTCCAAAACAAATAAATATTCAGTAGCCTCTTTTATTTCATTTTATCATTGATTTATCGTTAGTTTATTTATCAGTAAGTAGATGGTGCTATTATTAGATGAAATATTGAAAGCCAAAACAATGTTATCTGGTAATATCATCGATAGAAGGTTGGGGTACGACTGGAAAGCAGCGAACATTTATTAATTATATAAATATAAATAAAGAATAAAGTTGCATTCGATCTGCTAAAAACGTTGTTTGTGTTAAAACATGCTATCAGCGCCGGTTTCAGTGAAAAACTATTTGACAATATGATCATAATATCATAAAAGAAAAATATGATATTAAATTTTCTAGACCAATGTCGTGGTGGCACGAGGTGGCTAGACCTTTGTGTGGTCTCCTTATCAGCCTGGCATATTGTCACTGATGTAGGTATAGTTGAAGATGTATGTGGATCGGATCATCTGCCTATCTACTTAGAGTGTAGTTTAGAGAATGTTAGGCCTAAACGGGTGATGCGTGACATGCAACGCAGTGCGCTTACATGGGGAGAAAGAAATGAGTCTCAGATAAAAAGTACCAAGAGTTATGTCATAAAGAGCTACGAGAAATTGATTTTCCTCCCGAATTCGCTAGTTGCAGTCACGGGTCATGCGATAACGCCTGTCATAAAAGTTTGGTCGATAATTTCTATGAACAAATTGTAAGTACACTAAAAATGGCGGCTATTAAAACAAATTACGTAAAAATTGATAAGCCTTGTAGAAAAAAGATCCTATATGGGTGGAATAAAAATGTGAGGGATGCTCATCGGGAGGCCAGGCTTAAATTTCA